ACATAAATAATAATAATAATAATAATAATAATAATAATAATAATAATAATAATAATAATAATAATAATAATAATAATAATAATAATAATAATAATAATAATAATGATAATAATAATTAATAATACTAAACGCATTGTTTTTAACAAATAAACAGAATTAAATCAAATTAACATTAAATTAAATCAAACGAAAAATCGGCCCGTCGCGTCAGTAGCCGCTGTCGCTCCCCTCCTTGTCCCGTCTTCTAGCCCTACTCCTCAGCTGTCTCTGTCCCAAAATCTGGGTCATACCCCTCTTTCCTTGGAAAGAAAAGTGGTGAACTAGTTTACCACTTTTCTTTAGGTGAATCTACCCACCCGATCTTCTAGCCGCTGCTCGATCAATTGTAGAGTCGGTTTCAGCTGGTTCCTCGTCTGCGTGACTTTCCAGATGCGCCCGTGTTTGTCGTAGGCGGTGAAAGTGCGCTTGCTTCTCCTTCCTGGCAGGAAGGGTCGGCTCTGCAGATTCTCCAAGGAGACCAAGGACTCCTTCAGTTTCTGCATCGGGGTCCTGGTCTTCTGTGGGCTGATGAACAGGTCTCCAGGTTTGTCGGCAAAGGACTCTGGATAGTCCTCCAGTTCTGGGTACTTTGGCATCACCCAGCGGACTTCTGGCTCTACCCTCGTAGTGGTCAGTGGAACACGTATCAGAGGTCGGTTGCTTGACTCTTGCGGCTTCTGTGGTGCTACCAGGCGTATTTTATTCGAGAATACGGTGGATCCCCGGATCTTCAGGCCTTCCCGTTGGGGACTGCGTCGTTAACGTGGGCCTGGACGGTTAACTCTTTCATTTTCCTTCACAGGTTCAGCGGCAGGTACAACGGCATCAACAGGTTTCCCTGGTTCAACGGCGGTTTCAGCAACATCAGCAGGTATGACAGATTCAACGACTGGTTCTACAGCAGGTTCAACAACAGGATCCTCAGTGGTAGGTACGACAAGTTCGTCGACTTCCATCGGCACACCAGGTTCAACAGCAGGCATGACCGGATCAACAGGCTCCGTCGGAACGACAGCAGGTATAGCAACTGGTTCGACATTTGGTTCAGCAACAGCAATTGGTTCGGCACGTTCAACAACTGGTTCACCGACGTCAGCAATTGGCTTGGCAATCGGTTCAGCAATTTGTTCATCAGATTCGACGACTGGTTCAGCACACTCAACACTGGCAGGCTTCGTTGGCGTGGCGATCGACTGGGGACTGCGTTTCTGACGTGGACCCCGGGTCGACAGCATCGACTTCCATTTGGTTCACACAGGTTTCTGGCCTTTTGGCCAGTTTTAGTAAGCTGGCCGTGACTGGCCTGATCCGCGTCTTGGGCCTCCTACGTTTAAACAGGCCGTGGTGATTCTGTTTCACGTTTGGCTTGATTGCTGTGGACGATTTGGCTGGCTTACGATTGGCTGGTCTTTCAAAGCCAGGATTAGCCGGACCATAGGGTTCGTGGACAGCGTTTTGGATGGGGCTTGAAGGTTTGGCTGCTTCTGGCAGGCGGTGAAGGACGATGTCCAATGGATTCCTCAGCATCTCGTCGAGCAACCAGCTTTCCTCTTCTTCCGTATATTAAGGCTCCATCTTGTAAGTTCTAAATATCAAGTAAAATCAACATAATGATTCAAACAACATTCCTAAGACCAGTTTTGACCCGTAATATTAAGTTTTTCTACTATTAAACAAAACAAAAACAAAAACTTTGTATTTCGTTTGACATGATTTTGACTCATAACCCTGTATCGACATTTCGATTTAAGAAAATTACGTGATTGGCTACTAGGTGATAAAATTTGAACAAAGTTTTCAAAACTAACCCAGTCTAAATATGTCTAAACAAAAAAAAATGTAACTTGACTCTAACAGTTTACTTGGCATTCCGTTTTCAACCCGGTTCTTCGGCGGCAGAGGCTAATTTTGCCTTTTTGGCCATAGCTCGGGTTACACGACGCGGTCCTAAGGTTTCATCTAAATCTGGTTCAGGGTTTTCGCGGTCAATTTGTTCGCGTTCAGGTTTTTCATGGTCAGGTTCCGGGGGATTTCCCTCATGGAAACGTTTGAAGTCTTTAATATGCGCGGTGAAAGTTTTACCCTCTTTGCTAACTTCGTATATGGAATGACCGACGATTTTAGTTACTGTAAAACCCGTCGCGTACTTCTCCGCAAGTTTAGCCGAAAAGTGGTCAATCGCCGACGACAAATGGTGTTCCCTCTTGCTGACCAGGTCTCCAAGAGCTGGTTACCAGGAACCACGTTTGCGATTGTAATACTTGGCTTGTTTCCCATAGGCTTGGGCCAGGTTAACCTTGACCAACTCAATAGTGTCTTCCAAGGTCTTGGCTGCCCGATGGGGATCATAAACCTCGTCTTTCCCTCGGACGGCTCGTGTCCTTATTGATAAAGGAGACAGGATTTCACGGCCGTAATTTAAATACGCCGGAGAAAATTCTGTCGCGTCATGTTTCGCAGTGTTATAGGCGAAAATGAACTCTAGAACTTGCTTATCTCACTTTCGCTGGTTGGATCCAACGAATTGGGCGATCATTGTTCCGATTACTCGGTTTGTTCTCTCGACTGAATTGCATTGAGGCGAATATGGTGGAGTTCGTACGTGATTTATCCCGAATTGTTGCAATAAGGAAGTGAACTCCTTGCTTACAAAAGGGGTACCATTGTCGGTAATCACCGTGTCTACCCTGCCAAAACGCAGCAAGACTCTTTCTTTGAAAGCAGTCGCAATCGCGGTGGCTGTCTGTCGCCGTAGTGGTTGGATTTCTATCCAATCCACCCCCACGGAAAAAGTATATATTCTGGAATATATTCTGAAATATATTCCAGAATATATTCTGAAATATATTCCAGAATATATTCAAGAATATATTCTGAAATATATTCTAGATATATTCGAAATATATTACGGATATAGCCCGTTTTGCCCAGGAATATATTTTTTGAGAATATATTCAGTATATGTACGGAATATATACTTGTCGCATACTCCATTCATAGATTCGGAATATATTCGGAATATATTTCAGAATATATTCCAGAATATATACTTTTTCCGTGGAGGCACTTGGAGAACTTGTCTTGGAAAACTACCAAATAGCTCATACCCCGTGACGATCGTGGTTTGGGGCCTATTACGTCCGCAGATACGACGGACCAGGGCTTCTGGGCAGGGATTATTCCGATTGGGGCCAACGGGGGTTGCTGTGAGGCCTTGAATGCCTGACATATCCCGCACTGGCGCACATAGGATGTGATTTCTGCCCTCATACGTGGCCAATAATATTGACTCGAAACGCGAGCAATCGTCTTTGCAATGCCTAAATGGCCGGCTGAAGGAACGTCATGGTTTTCTCGTAATACTTTACTGACTCCTGCGACCGGAACACATAATTTCCAGACGTCGCCTCGATCAGTGTAGTCTAAGCTATGATAACGATGTCGGTATAACAGGCCTTGCTTCAGGCAGTACTCGGGATAACGCTGGGGGTCATTTTCGACTCCTTTGACGATTCTTTCGTACCAAGTGTCTCCAAGCTCTAAAGCTTCTAGTACTAAGTTGGATTCTGACTCGTGAGAATTTTCCTCAGCGGAATTTTCAGGGGTACGTCGCGATAGCGCGTCCGCGACTTTGTTCCACTTCCCTTTTCAGTACACGACGTCGAAATTGTACTGTTGCAAGTACAGGTTCCATCGTGCTACGCGTCCACTTGGACTCTCTATCGATCGGAGCCATTTTAGTGACTGGTGGTCCGTGATAACCGTGAACTCATACTCTTCGAGATATGGTCTCAGTTTCTGGTTTGCCCAGACCACTGCGAGGCATTCCTTTTCGGTTACGCTGTAGTTTCGTTCGGCTTTCGTCAGTCCTCGGCTCGCATATGCGACGACTTTTTCTGCGCCATCATGTTCCTGTGTTAGAACAGCGCCTATTCCAACGTCGCTCGCATCCGTTTGTAGCACGAAACGTTTTAAAAAATCCGGAGGGACCAGTAATGGATCCGATTTCAGGTGGTTTTTCAGCGTATCGAATGTGGTTTGTTCCGGGGTTTCCCATCTCCAACATTTCTTCTTTTGGAGGAGGGAAGAAGGATTTGGTTAAATCTGCAGTTGAGGATAAACCGACGGTACCAAGAAATCATTCCTAAGAACTGACGCAGTTCTTCGGTATTACGCGGTGGTACAATCTATGTGATTGCTTTAACCTTTTCTGGGTCCGCTAGATCCCCTGCTCATCGATAACATGATCTAAGTACACAGTACTTAGCCTCAAAAAATGAGATTTTTTCGGATTCAACTTTAGATTCACGGCGCGGAGGTGGGTCATGACCTTTTTCAGGATTGCCATGTGTTCGACAAGGGTTTCGCTGACGATTATTATATCATCCAGGTACACTACTACGTGTGTTTCAATGTCTGCGCCGAAAACTTCGTACATTACGCGCTGGAACGTCGCAGGCGCTGAATGTAGACCAAAGAGCATTACTCGGAATTGAAAAAGTCCACGTCCAGGAATCGTGAAAGCAGTCAACGGTTTGCTTTCTTCCTCTAGTGGTATCTGCCAGTAACCACTTTTCAAATCGATTGTACTAATAAATTTAGCTTTCCTCAGTTTGTCCAGTGATGTATTCACGTGTGGTATTGGGAATGCGTCTTTCTCGGAGACGTCGTTTACTTTCCTAAAATCTACGTAAAACCGGTATTTCCAGTCCTTTTTCTTGACCAACACGACAGGAGAGTTCCACGGGCTGTTTGATGGTTCGATGATTCCATCTTTCAGCATTTTGTCAACTTCGTCGTTCATGATTTGCTGCATTTTTGGGTTTTTCGGAAAGTAACGCGCCTTTACAGGTTCTGTTCCAGATTTAATTTTAATTTTGTGCGTCGCACACCGGGTAGGACCAACTATTTCTTCGTCTAGTTTGAGCCAGGTTTTTATTTCTCGTCGAGCAGTCTCCAGATCGTATTCCATATCCAATGCATTAAAAGATTCTGCCCTGCGTTGCAACTGATACCCTAATATCGCTAGGTTATCTACGCCGAGAAGCATATCATTTGCATAAGCTGGCATGACATGAAATGGTAGCTCGTAAGAGCGATTATTTTCCTGGACATTGACCCAAACTGTACCAGATGATAGAATCACTTGATTCCCTAATGTCGATCCCCGTATAGGTGTGGGGTTATGTTTAGTCTGTAGTCTATTCTCGCGGATGAAATCCCAGATTCGTTGGGAGACAATAGACGCGGTTGCCCCAGTATCCATTAATGCATGGATTTTTATACCACCGAGTCCAATCTCGGCCAAGGGACGTTTCTCGCCGGGCTTCAGTGCTATTGGCCGGAAATGCTCGGCTGAGACTCTGGATTGGTCGGGGTAGTGTTCTTTACTTGGGTTGGTGCTCCCTGTGGGTTCACGGGCCGGTTTTGGGAGCGCGTGCCGGTCCTCGCGGCGTTTCCCTGGTAGGGGCAGCAATCGCGAGAATACACGTCCAGTTTTCCGCATCGCATACAAAACTTTACCGCCCGATTTGTACATTGTTCTCTGGTGTGCCCCTTTTGGCGGCATCGCCAGCAACAATCACGCCAATTATATTCAAAAATCTCTACGGGTGCCGGTTCGACGGGTTTCGCGGGCTTTCGATTGAACGAAGTTTCCGGTTTCCGGGCTGTTTGTTAAGTCTCTTTGACCGCGGGGGGTTTCTCTTGAGCAACGAGTTGCTCGTACTCTCTTGCAAGCCGTAAAAGTCCTGGGACGTTAGCGAACTCTGTGCGCTTCATGTAACGTCGATATTCCGGTCTCATGTTTTGATATAGCCGGGTAAGACGGGCCAAGTTTGACATCTGGCCATGTCTTCGCATCAAGGTTTGCAGTCTGGTTGCGTATTCCGCCGCAGACTCGGTTTCTCCCTGGACGCTGTTCCGGATCTGCTCTTCCAGCTCGAGTTCGAGGCCCGGAGGCAGATAAAAAGATTTTAGGTCCGACACAAAATCTTCCCAAGAGACCCAATCTCTCTTGTTGTTGCGATACCAGAGGAGAGCCTTTTCGCGCAACAATATCGGGATGCATGGCAGCAGGTGATCCATCTCGAACCCATAATTGTCTGCCATTTCTTCCAGTCGCTCCAAAAAGTCTTGAACGTCGCGTTCCCCTTTGAACACGACGTTCCACTTTCGAACCAGATACCTCCTGCGGAGTTCAGCAGAATCATCCCCAAGCACCGAGTGATGTTGATGGTCTTGTCTGGGGGTTCCTGAGAACGAGGGGCCTACTCTGGTCGGGCTCACGAGGTCGACCAGGGGTTCTGACCGGCGGTTTCCGTCTCTGCCCTTTCTTCGGTCATCCTCCAAACTCGAAATGCGATCACGATTGTTGCCGTGAGTGTTTATGTGGCCCTCTTGCTCCGCCTTTTTCTGCTGCTCCGCCTCATACCTCATTCGTGCTTCGCTCGCGTCGAGTTGAAGTTCATAAGCTCGTTGATCCTCCTTTTCCCGCAAAAGTCGCGCCCTTATTTCCTGGCGCAATCGTTCGCGTAGCCCCTTTTCAGCTTCTGCTTCGGCCTCGCGAGCTAACCTCTCCTGCTCTCTCTTTTCTTTTTTAGCCTCGCGTGCTAACCGTTCGCGTTCCTCCCGTTCTATTCTCTCCCTCTCAACCCGCTCCTTTTCTTCCGCCTCGATCCGCTCGCGTTCTTCCGCCTCGATCTCAGCTCGCAATCTTTTCTCCTGTGCTCGTCGTTGTCTGGCAGTCTGTGCCTCGGGTGACGCGTTATCGCCCTCTGGGTCCTCGTCTGAGGGTAGCTCGTCATCATTTTCGGGGGCCTTCGTCTCTGTCTCGTCGGGGAGTTTGTCTAATTCGGCCTCAGATTGATCGAGGTCGATCAATAGTTGGTCGTATCGACCGGGACGACCCGCTTCGCCGCTCGTAGTTTGTTAAATTCGGCTTTTAGCAAAAATCTAAGCTCCGGCAACGTCGCCTTCGGCTCGATTTCCACTCGGAATTTTTCAAGCTCGCTAATGACCGCGTCCTTCTTGAGCGACCATACCCATGTTTTTGTACCCGTTTTCTTACTCATCTTGGTGAGATAATAGAGAAAAACTAACTAAAACGAAATCGCAGTACCCACAATTCCCGCTACCACGAAACAAAACTACAAGTCCCTGTTCGAGCGCCAAAAATTCCGAGTGGAATTATTTATATTTATTTACAATACGTGGACGTTACAAATTAATTATCTCTCGAGCAAATTAATCGATTTTAATGCGATTTGCAGCAATCAATGTTGTTTTTAGGGTTAAGAGTTGGTTAGTTTTTTAAATTATTTGATATTTTGCAGTTTTTAAAATTTTTGTAAAGTTAAAAATGTTTTACCAAACAAAATATGAGTAAAATTACTAATCAGAGTGCTGCTATTACAATATACAATACAATTCCAGTAATTTACCAAAACATGTGAGGAAACCGATAAAGGTGATTTGTAATTTTATATACTCCATGTACTTTATCTACACGTATTGTAATTTTACCAAACATTGATCAGTTTCCGATAGAAAATTTTGAAAATTTACACACTGTTTGTAATTTGATTTACTCCAGTTTTTTGTAAAGTAACAAAAAAATTTTGGAACTCAAATTACTTTAAAGTAATTGAAAGTTTAAAACAGTTAGTCCCTAGTCAGTAGGGTGAGCAAAAAAATAAACTTATCGAATTTATAGGTTAAAATAAACTTAAATAACGAGAAAAAAATTTCCCAGCAAAGCATAATTTTTAGCTTAATTTTAAAAGGCGCCGATGAGAAATTACCATTTAAATAGCTCGTAAAAAAATCTTTTTTCATTGAAAATATCATCACTTTTGAACCGTATAAGATGAAACTTTTTACATGGCGGATTCTTGTAGAGCATAAAATTTCCTAAAAAATCTACCTCACGGTGATTTTTTTCAAATTAAAAATTCGTATATTAAAAGCTTTGAAAAGTAGAAAAAATCAAAATACGCAGTTTCAGTGTTTTTTGATTAAAAATGTTCATATATAACAAAAAAAAAAAAAAAAAGACCATTCGGCAGTCGAAATGGAAGTAGATTTCATCATAAATAGAAAAAAGTAATGGATTTCTAGTAAACCGGCGATTAAAACCTTATTTCACCCTAACTCGTTATTTGTTTACATACTGCTGGTGTACAGTAAAGAAAAAAAACAAAAAAAACGAGTGCAATAGCAAATTTCATAATTGGCATAGCGGAATAGGACATAATTTTGGGACTACACATATGATATGGTACTCAAATTGAAGCTTATTTAAAGAGCTTTCAGATGCAATTTACAGAAATTCGATAAATTATCCCATTCAAAAGTTATTAAAGGACGAAAATGGAGAAATGTTAATTTTTATGATTTTGAAAATTTTGAAATCATGGCATTTCTAAATTACTTCTTATATGCAAGTTGACAATAAAGGTGGTGCCGAATTTTAAAAACAAGTTATCGATAAGCTTATAGTAAACTTGAATAGAAAATTTCGGTAACTTAACGACAAGTGTTTCACTACAATTCGTTGAAGTAAACTTGACCATAACTTGGCGATAAGTTGTAGATTAATACTTATTGCCAAACTACTTTTCTTCAAGTTATCTATAGTTCGCCGCACTAAGTTATCTGAAAGTTATAGCATGAGATGTCCAGTTAGCACAAGCGAAACGAAGTTCACGTAAACCTGCGGCCGGAATTTGATGTAAAGTTTACGCTAACAGTGGAGCAACAGTTATACTTATAACAGTTGACGTGAAGTTAACGTTAACTTTCTGCAGCTTCGCGTTAACTTTGAGCGAACCTTTCGGAAAATTCCGGCAATAGATTTACGCTAACTTGATGCGTAAGTTAAAGTCAAGTTCTGGGAAACTGTTGCAAATGCAGAGGTTGACGCGAAGTTAACGTAAAGTTGACGTAAACCATTGAACATCAACTTAGTTGATAAGAACATTTTTAAAGAAATTTACTTTAAGAAGCATAGATAAAGAATTTTACTTACTTATCGAACATTATACATATTCGCACTTTACGAATTGTTTATAGATTTCATTTAATATTTTCTAAATAATTACAATGTTTATATGCGAGACTTTTTAAGGATATCGTTTTATTCTTAGGAAAATTCAAATAAAGATTTATAAAATACCATGACTAATAATTATGAATGTGGATTTAACTTTAAACTTATTATTTTGGATTTTAACAAAATTATTCAATATTAAATTAGTTTATTATAAAATAATCTGATAAAGAACTTCATCTTAATAACATATTAATTAGAACAATTTTAAACAATTTTTTCATTTTTTCACAAAAGGATATTATCTCGGAAGAAATCATACCGATAAACGGAAAAAAATATCTGTGATATGGCTCTGAGCGACATGATATCACATAGACAATTTTAAAAGCCTTAATTTGGAGCATGAGGGAATTTTTATCCAGCTCTCCCACTGCTTCAATAACTATAAAAGTATGTGGTGGGACTCAACCGTTGTATTCACAGTGGGGTATCAACCGACTGACAGAAGGGGAACATTCATACAACCGTGATCACTCGTTCTTTAGTTTACCGGAGCGCGAATTTTTGTTGGCTGCTATCACTGCACCTCATCCATCGTTTTCTATTATTACAATCAATTATTGTTTAATAAACTAATATAAAAGTGGTTAATATATTTATAAATAATCACTTATTGATAATTAAGGAAAATTCAAGTGTTTGTTTTCTGTCTCGTTTAAGAGCTAAAGTGATAGGATAAATAATTGTTCGATAATCTTAATATATAAACAAAAATGGTAAGTTGTTTTTTAAGTAGGTGTATGGTTCTCTAATCAAATAACAGTATAATTTTTGTAAAGTAAAATTGAAATTCGATGGACAAAATTATTTATCAAAATAAAATATTCGACTGACACTTAGAGATACTCAAACTTTTATTACATTGTAAATAAAATTAATGAAAGGGAACAATAGAATTCAGTAATAGAGGAATCGTCGTATAATAGCGGAAACTCAGTACAAAAAATCTCATAGGAAGAATGTTATTATACATATGTGTTAGATCACATTAAACTTGACTCAAAACATATATGAGACTCCTACTTTTGTTAATTTTATACAAAACAATGTTTTTAATTTTCGAAAAAAATAATTATATCCAAAAAACTAAAAAATTTTTTTTTTATATAGTTTTTGTATTAATGATGTGCAATGGCTATAATTTTTTCATCTAATGTTAATGAGGATACTAAAATATTTTTATGCTCAAACATATAATCTAAATACTTAATTCACCATTGATTTCACTTAATGAACTTATTCAATGTACTTATTTAAAATGCCTAACCATATCATGTACTTTATTAAATGAGCAAGAACTCTTTATAATTTAATTGAATTAATTTTCAACTCTCGAGTTCATATACCTATGGGGTATTCCATGCCAAATCGACCACTTTTGACCCCGACCCTTTTCGATTTGGCCGAAAGTTTTCCATCCTTTTCTACCCTATAAAAAACGGTTCTCAGAATTTTTTTGAATTTTTTTACCTAACTCCAAAAAAGTTATGAATTTTTCAAAAAAATGGCTTTTTTATTTTCAAATAGCCATAACTTTTTCAAAACTAAACATTTAGGTACCTTTTTTTTTCAAAATTTTTGTTTTTAGATGTACTTTCCGATAAAAAATATTAAAAAATTTTTGTAAGTCAATACATATGGAATTTTTCAGTTTTTTGACAAAAATCAATGCTTTTTCGAAGTTCGACATTTTTTTTTTTAAATTTTTTTTTTCTAAAATAAACTTTAAGCAATTCCACAGTTATCCCTGTAGAACCCAGATTGGGCCGATTTCTCTTTCGATTTTTTTTATTCAATTGAAAAAAAAATTGTTAAAATTTTCAAAAATGGAAAAAAAATCTTTTTTCATAAATTTTATTTATATAATGACATAAAGTCAATTCAACGATTTTACGGCATTACATTCACAATTTAGAGGCTTCATCGATGACTGTAATTAGTAAGATTCAAATTTTAATATATCAATTAGATCGATAAACTAGGGATAACAATTATCGACTTACCTATAGCCAGTAAACTAGATGCTATAAGCTAGTATGTTTTGATTAAAAGTGCGGCTTTTTCATTTTGAGATCTAAAACATAACCTATAAATCTTTTGTGCAATCTAGTGTTTTATAAAAGATCGTCATTACATTTGTTGTATAAATAAATAATTTCTCTAGTTTATAAGCGCTTTTTTAATTTGTCTTTATGGCGTCAAAAAAGGTATTTGATCGGTGTTGTAATCCTTTTGAGTTGGAATCTCATTTTAAAAAAATTGGTTTACGTCCGGCGACTGATATTACGAAAGTAACGTTAGGATTAGATGATAATTATTTATTATGCAGTTCATGTCGAAAAAAAGCTTCAGAGTTAGTGAAGCAACAAACAAATGCTCGTAATGATCCTAGTGCTGATGTAAGTGACCGTGAAGACAACTATAGTGACAATAATGACAAAAATGATCAGGCTGATAATGATAGTAATACAACTGCCACGGATCTCCCATTATCCTTATCATTCCGTAAGTTTTTTTAATTATTTATACGGTACTTGAATACATTTCTAGTAGCTATATGTTTCACTATTATTTTTTAAGGTTCCATGTCATTTGATAGCGAACCCAAAGCATAACAATCAAGCTCAGGATCCCAAGTTAGCGCCGCAACTCAATTACCCGTAATAAACCAAACATTAGAATTGTTAAATCAATC